CACATCTTGTCACACTGGAAAGACTTCATGGGCAATATCAGACATGGAGCTGTCATCTCCTACGATAACAATGCCTTCTTCTGCAATACCTCCTGAAGGATCTGCCTGAGGATGTTTTACAGGGAATTTTTTAAAATAAGTAGAATATACTCTAAAATAATGATTAAAAGTATAGTAAATACATAGTACATAAAAGTACAGTAAACACATTAACTGTTTTTTGTATTTACTAAACTGGTTATTATAAGTAGACTGTACTCTAAAAAAATGATAAAATGTATAGTAAATACATATACTATAATAAGATCAAGTATTACATACTATACATAATTGTATGTGCTATAATTAAAAAATTTTTTTTATTATACTTTAAGTTCTGGGGTACATGTACAGAACGTGCAGGTTTGTTACATAGGTATACACGTGTCATGGTGATTTGCTGCAGCCATGAACTCATCATTTACATTAGGTATTTCTCCTAATCTATTCTGCTATCCCTCCCCTTGCTCCCCACCCTCTGACAGGCCCTGGTGTGTGATGCTCCCCTCCCTGTGTCCATGTGCTTTCATTGTCAACTTCCACTTATGAGTGAGAACATGCAGTGTTTGATTTTCTGTTCTTATGTTAGTTTGCTGAGAATGACGGTTTCCAGCTTCATCCATGTCTCTTCAAAGGACATGAACTCATCTTTTTTATGGCCACATAGTATTCCATGGTGTATATGTGCCACATTTTCTCTATCCAGTCTATCCTTGATGGGCATTTGGGTTTCAAGTCTTAGCTATTATGAATAGTGCTGCAATAAACATATGTGCATGTGTCTTTATAGTAGAATGATTTCTAATCCTTTGAGTATATACCCAGTAATGGGACTGCTGAGTCAAATGGTATTTCTGGTTCTAGATCCTTGAGGAATCCCTACATTGTGTTCCATAATGGTTGAACTAATTTACATTCCCACCAACAGCATCTGTTGTTTCCTGACTTTTTAATGATCGCCATTCTAACTGGCATGAGATGGTATCTCATTGTGGTTTTGATTTGCATTTCTCTATACTTTTATACAACTGACAGCACAGAAGGTTTATTTACCCTGCATCACCACAAGCATGTGAGTATGCATTGCGCTACGATGTTACCACTGCTATTACATCACTAGGTGTTAGAATTTATCATCTGCATAATAATGTTATGGGGCCACTGTCGTATATGCTGTCTGCCATTTGCTGAAACATCATTATGCAGAGCATGACTCTGTATTAAAGGTGATAAGAAAAGCACACAAATAATATACCACAGTAGAAAATGATTGTTATATGAGACAGTAAAATAAGGTATTCTAGAAGTTTACAAGAGGAAGACATTATTTCTGTGAAGATTAGAGAAACTGGCACATAGGGAGTAGCATTAAAGGCAGGATAGATTGGAAACATGTGGACATAGGGGAGTTCCAGATGAGGGAGGGACAAGGGGAATAAGTGATTAAGTAGGAACACAGATGTGGGAAATGGAGTGGGGGAAAGAAGTCTGGAAGGGCAGGTGGGCACAGGGCGGAAAGTCCTTGAATGCCAGTGTTAGGAATTTAGAATTCTCTGAAGGCAATTGGGAGCCATTGAAAGTTTTTGAGCATGCTGGTTGTAAATGGGAGGGAGGTGTGCTTAGGTGTGTGCTTGGAGGAGGTTAATCAGGTAGTAAAATAGAGGATGGCTTTAATAGGGAGAAAGTGACAGTAGCATGGACAACAGGCAACTAAAGCAGTCACACCAGGTGAAGGCTAATGTGGGTCTAAGGTTCAGTTAAGAAGAATGGGGGGTTGGGAATGGGCCTAAGGGTGAAGTAGGAGAAATGAATGGATGGATATAGGTAGGATTTTATAGTTAAATCAATAAGAGCTTTCAATTTATTGCAAGTGAGAAGCATGAGAGAAGGAGACATTTTAAAATGGAGCTGAGGTTTTAAACCAGATTAACTGGAGGGTCAAAGGAAGGAACAGAGATGGAGAAGTAGATTTCTATGGGAAAATATGAGCTTGCTTTGATGATACTGAATTTGCAGTGCTAAAATTTATGATGTAGGCTTGCAGTTCTTGTGGTTAAAAGTGGAAGACAGGTGTTGAGACAAGCCAGAGGTTGAGACAAAGGCTTAGAAACCATCCACCTTGTCAAAGGAGCTCTCATCCTTTTCAGAGTGTAGCCACGCTGTGTAGAGCAGACACTGCAAGCTTGGTAGGAATGAGGCATATCTGGCTCAAAAGCATGTTTAGTTGTGTGTTTTTAAAAGTGTAAATATTAAACCAACATTTTAAAATCAGGAAATTATACTTAAAGCATTGATTTCTGGCTTCCCTTTTAAAAATCAAAATTGTACTTTGATGTTAGCACAATTAAAAATCATAACATTGAAATATGCGATTATGAAAGTTTTTTAAATTTTTTAAATAAATAAATAAATAAGATGTGACTAACTGTGAACTCACATTGCCACATGACAACAACTGCTGGAGCTGAACAGAGACTGCCCCCTTGAGATCCTGGATGAATTCTTGAACTCACCACAGTACTCACCACTTCCCCTCATCTCATAAGGCTTTAATTGAAAGTCAGTTACTAGATATATAGAGAAAAAAAATAGGTTAATGGTTGCCAAGAGCTGGAGGTGGGCAGGGAATAGGATCTTGGGGACTGAAGGGCAGTGGGTGTGGGATTTCTTTTTGGGGTGATGAAATGTTCTAAAGTTAATTGTGGTGATGGTTGAACATCTCTGTGAATATAGCAAAAGCCACTGAACTAGACACTTGAAATGGGAGGATGTATGATAGGTAAATTATCTTAATAGAGCTGCTTTTCTAAAATGCAAATGTAGTTGCTATTGCCCCTGCAGTGTTGGTTTTCTTATAGTAGAAAATATTTTTCTATAAGTCTATTTCTATAAAAGGGAAAAATGTTAGACTGAGAGGGTTGTGAATTTCAAGAAAAATGGTAAAGACTGTTTCTCTTAGTGGGGGTAAATAATTTCTGCATGTTAATATGCAAGCACCTGGCCTCTTTACTAATGTACGTTATTCTCCTGAACACTGAAAGCATCTGATATTACACAAGAAAAAAATGTGGTCATGCCCCACTCCCTAAGGTCCACCCACAACTAAGAAGAAAGAGAAAACAAAGGCAGAGAAAGGAAAGGAGTAATCAACATGGTAAAAGGAGAAGCAGAAGAGGCCAGTAGATTGGATGCTAAAGAAGGGAGAAGCTTTATCAACTGCTGACAAGAGGTCAAGGAGGATGGGGGCCAGGGCAGTCAGGAGGTCACGGGAGACCATCCAGTGAGAGAGCTGAGAGAGGTGACGCCTGAGAGAGATGCAGAGGCAGCTGACAAAGTGCTCAGAGAGCGTTGTTCAGGAGATAGTATTTAATCTCAGGCATGGAGGACTATTGAAGGTGTTTAAGTAAGGGAATGATGTGATCAGATCAGAACAATCTAGATTATTTGTTTTCACATTAATTTGTGCATATTTTGAATTGTGTCCATGATGAACTGACGTTACCCCAAATTTTATTTTCTTACACAAAATTTCCTTCAATCTGAAATCTCCGGGCTTGTTGAGACTTTGGTTGTTGATTTCCATCTCATTCATTCCTGTTGCTGCTTGAACCAAGAAATATGTAGATATGGTTGGTGTTATCTGACTCAGGGGTTTTCAACTTCAGCACTGTTATATTTTGGGCTGGATAATTTTTTTTGTTATAGGATGCTGTCCTGTGCATTATAAAATGGTTAAGAGCATCACCAGCCTCTACCCTCTAGACGCCAGTAATACTGTGAATTAGACATTACCAATAAAATCACCCTCCAGCCAAGAACCACTGAACTACATTTGTCTGTTGTAGCATTTGGACCCAGGTGCTTTAGGCCATGTGCAGTTAGTAGACCACTCTGAAAAGTGTCTGCCCTGGAAAACAAGACCCATTCCTACTCCACACTGAGGCATACAAATCAGATAATGTTATAAGGGGGCAACAGATGAGACACTCAAGGCCTCATTGTGTTTTAGCTAATTCAGTGGACTCCAACCTGTATGTAGTCTCCTCGTTGAAAAATGATCATATCTGGAGGCTACAAGGCACAGTAAATGTCCAACTGTGCCCTCCTAAGGTTAGGATTCCTGTCATGGCCCACGGTCAAAGTGGGTTCATAGGTGGCCTCAGGCACAGGGCATAGTGGTTCAGAGGAGGCCTCGGGATGTGCTAGACATGATTGCGGGAGCTGGCTTCTATGAGGCAGGATTTGTTGGCTCGCCTCCAACTGGGATGAAGGGGGTAGGGAGCAGAAAGGTTTTCTCCTGGTGATGTCAAGAAGGGTCAGTAAAGCTTTGGAGATGTAAGGTGCAACTTGGAGGAGACTAGGAACTCAGATAAAGTTTACTTCAGACCCTCCTCCTTATAGGAAAGTCTTAGAAGGTAAAGGAATGTTTCTCTTGGAATAGGGATGCCTAAAACAGATTACATGTGAAATGTTGAGATCTCCAGATTCCTTTTTTTGGGTGTGTGTGTATATGTGGGGGTGGGAGGACAAGGGAATTTTATATGTATATGCCACTGTTTCTATATTGATAAGGAAAATTGAGTTGAGACTCTTGTCAAGCTAAAAATGTCTAACAACTCTATTAAACTAAGACTATTTCATAACTGGTTCTGTGGAGTTATGCCTTGGATTATGAATGGCTAGATGTATTATTAGCAATGGCTCTGAGCTGTCTTGCAATGCAACCTATTTTTGAGAGATAACTCTGTTATTGTTTGGCCCAGTGGTAGTCACTTTCACTGAGGCTGAAGGAAACCCCTGCTGGTTTTTATTCTCATATTCATTCTCCTACTTCATCAACTTCTGTGGTAAGGAACTGAGCCTCCAAGTACTCTCTGAGCAATGAGTAGTGACTGGACTTCATGTGAAATGCCATCTCAAGAAAGGGCATCTGAAAGCATGCTTTTGCCATCTCATTTCAGGTACTTCTGGATCCAGCTGTGTGACAGCTGCACTAGGAAATACCTGGAGTCACTGTGTGAATACCCGGCTGATCTTCCAGTACCTTGATTCAGAGAGAAGACAGGTGAGTGCTTTGACAGTATTGTCTAACTATGAAGGTCAGGGAACAAGGTGTACCCATCAACCTGAGCATCTTCTGAAAATGTTGGCTGCATTGTCTGTCCTGGGCCAGCCAAACTAGTAGGGCATAAAGATACCAGCATTTCTGCTTGTCTCAACAGCAGTTGTGATAAAGTGGGGAGACAAATCACACACAGGAAAAACATAAAAATTGATCCCACAGAGTAAGTATTTCTCTGATATTTGTAAGCGACCAAGGACCACACTTCTAGGGATATCTAATTCTCTGTCTCTAAATGATCATTTCACTTAGATTGTATTTGTTGAGGACTAGATAATTTGCATATGAATTAAATAATGATGGTGCTTTTTCTTGTAGTATGTGTACTTTGAAAATCTTAGGCCAGACAGATGCTGCCAAGTGAATAAACAATTCCGCAGACACTAGGTACTTTTACATTAACTCATACACCTGTAGTGTAAAGTACTGAATGATACTAGAGAGACCTCTAAATGGTTGATCACTTTCTCAGAGTTCCCTATTTATGGTTTCTATACTGGTCCCAGTGAGAATCCTTCCCTTACATCCAGAAAGGTTACCTTCTGCCTCCTTTTAAGTCTTCTCTCTTGATTTCAAAGAAAAGGACACTACTGTCTGACCTCTTTGGTAAAATGTTTCATAGTATAAAATTTCTTAGTGTCGAACCTCAGCTTTATCCTACTGTACGACCAGATTCAGTTAGTTTCTCCTAAAAGCAGGAAGAAGAAGAAGGCGGGTGATTATTTTGATTTTTTGGAGAGGACAGAATTCAGAAGCCAGATTTGCCCGCCTTGCTAAATATAAATCACATCCAGACTATTTAGACACAGAGGCATGAAATATCACACTGGTGATCCTTTCTGGAGGAGATGGCAGAAAAGGGGTTGTTGCCTTTACCTGCATGAGGTAAACTGGCTCTTTTTCAAGGAAGTAGGAATCATCAGACACAGGCATGAGCTGTCACCTGTTCTAGATATAATTTTTCAAATGCCCTTGGTGACAGACCAGAGAGTTCTTCTTGGTTTGCTTGGTACTGTGTAAATAGCATTCCAGCTTGGTGGTCAAGTCAGCCGTGTCCTGAGAAGATGGAGCTGCTTGTTTCTGCTCAGGGAAACATTCTTGAGTTTGCAGGCCCTTGACTACTCACTGCCTCTATGGTACCTTTTCCCTGATGAGTCAGGTATCCTAGGTTCTGAAGCTATTATTCCTCTTTTTAGTGGAATACATTCCAGAATCTTCCTGGAGAACCTAATGATCTTTGGTAGTAAATCATGTTAAATAGCTGTGTTGCAGCTTTCAGGGATATCATTAAGGATTGTCAAACACGCCTATGTAAACTTTATCAGAGGAAGCAAAATTCCTTGTGAATCAGTGTTTAGACATTCATTTTCATGGATCCTTGATCCCACTCCTTGAAAACTTGTAGTTTGTCACTGTTTTAGGTTTTAGATTTTAGAAGCCATTCTTACTGTTACACATGGAATTTATGATTTCATCTATTATATATGGTATCATGGATTCAGGCTCCCAAATCCTACTTTTACTAATTCCAGTTAGAATTTATAAGTGAATAAAGAAGTCAGAGCCATATTTTTATTTCCCTTTTGTTTTAATAAATTAACCAGTCAGCGTCAACAGGAAGTAGCTGGTGAGACAAACCTGTTTTTTTTTTTTTATGTCTCTTGGGTGACTGGAGGATGTTGGTGGCTCTTGGCTTTTGGCTAATATGGTAAAAAGCAGCCCAGTGGTCATAACGAGAATGAGGAGCAGAGTGTGGGTGGACCAGTGACAGTTCATCAACTCATATCCCATTAGATGGGTCAGTCATGTTATCTTAATTTACAAAAGACAACTTGTTACTGTCATTACTAATCAATAAGGAGTAGACTTAAATGCCTTGGAATCTTGTTACTCAAACAGTAATTAAAAATTAATGTAAAATATTGCCAATGTTAAAATGGCCAACCCAGGCAAAGAACATACATTCAATTAATCTATAGAAATGTGCATACCCTTTGGGACCAGTGGTTAAATTTGTGACTTAATAACTAGAATAAAGTTTGATATAGAAAACATGTCTCTGGTGACCTTATCTTGCCTTAGCAGAGGGTGTGCTTTAGTGATTCCCTGAGTCTTTCCTGTGGTCTTTATTTTGTGACAAACTGTAGAAGCCATATGAAGCTAAGCCTTTTCTGGGATGTGTGCACAAAACAATACTTTAAAGCTAATCTTTAAGGTAACTGCACCAAATAGTACTTTCTTATAACACCACTTAGTAGCAGAACATGCCTGGATCATTCTAGGGTAGTGAGACCTCTGGGACACCAGCCACTTGGAGAAGATAACAGGTATAGTTTTTTGTTTTTTAGGGTTTTCCAATGCCCAAGCAGAGGCCACTACACCCAGGGATCCCGGCTATGGGATGAAGATTATGTTTCATCCTGTTTCTATGACATTGAGCTCTACACCAGGGCTCTTGAATGTGAGGCTTAGATTGAGATCACAGGCCTGGAAGGGGGTCAGGTCAAGCTGAGCAGACCTTAAAGCCGATTAACCCAAGAGCTGAATTGTGTTGTCCGAGGGAAGGAGTCCTCCCTGGCTGATCATTTTCTTTACACCCTGGAAACTGCAAAATTTTATAACCAAGAAAGAAATCTCCTTATCAGGGCACAAGCCAAGTTAATTCTCTTGCTTATTCTGCCTCAATGTTTGAAAAACCCTCTTAGGAAGCTGGAAAACATTTTCTTTTGGACTAATTTAGCTTTTTTTCCATTTGACTTTTATTTATTCTTTTCCTACTCTGCTTCAATCCTGCCCCACCCTTTTTGCAACATTTTTATTCTTACCAAAGACATATTCTTAGAGTAGAATTAAAATGGCCTCGCCTACTTTTTGTTGTTGTTGTTTAAAACCATCAAAAATATGTTTTGGTCTACCCTGTGCAAGGCATGGGGATATAAATAAGTAGAAGAGTAGTCCCTGCCCTCGAGGTCCTAACAGACTAATACTGAGGCACTGTCACAAGGCAGTGTTTGACTTGTCTAATGAGTGCTTAAAACAGTAACTGCTTTGAATCCAAAGGAAGGTAACATCATTGGAGGCATATTAAGTCTTTTCAGGAAAAGGTGAGACTTGAGTATTACCTTAAAATCAGTGGTTCTCAGCTGGGCACGGGGGCTCACGTCTATAATCCCAGCACTTTTGGGAGGCCGAGGCGGGTGGATTGTTTGAGGTCAGGAGTTCAAGACCAGCTTGGCCAACATGGGAAAACCTCATCTCCACTAAAAATACAAAAAAAAAAAAAAAAAAAAAAAAGAAATACCCAGGTGTGGTGGTGCACAACTGTCGTCCCAGCTACTCGGGAGGCTGAGGCAGGAGAATTGCTTGAACCCAGGAGGCAGAGATTACAGTGAGTCCAGATTGCACTACTACACTCAAGCCTGAGCAGCAGAGCAAGACTCCGTCTCCAAAAAAAAGTGGTTCTCAAACCTGGCTGCACTAAAGGCTCATTACAGGAACATTTATACCGATGCCAGTGCCCCACCCTGGCCAGTAAACTCCAAATCTCCACCAGGGGAGCTGAGCATCAGTGTTGATTTGTAAAGCTCCCCCATGTGATTCTAATGTTCAGCCAAGGGTGGGAACCTCTGCCTTAAATAAGAGATAAAATTCAGGTAGTCAGAAAGGACACGTGCGGGGATGGAGTGAGCTGCCGCTGAAGAACAGGAGGATAGGCTGCATTGTCGGAGGGCACGGGCTGGGTTTTGCCTTGTAACAAGAGCAGAGATTTTGAGCTCTTATTCATTTGACAAACTTATTTAATCACCTCTTCTCTGCTAGTCAATGTGTAGCTAGTTGCTGGAGGTTCAGAAGAACAGTTAAGAGATGGTTGGTACCCTGTGGTTGTTCACAGTCTACTTGAGGAAACATAAGCATGCAAACAGGACTTGCAGTAAGAGCACAGTGAATCAAGTAAGTGTAGAGGAGATGGGGGCCTGCCACCAAGGAAGGTTCTGTAGCGATTAATGAGGCATGCAGAGGAGTGGCCGACGCCTTAACTTGGGAAACTCTTGCCATCACCAAGTGCTGTCTAGCGAGGGCTGGTTATACTTGAAAGAGGGATGGAAAGCTCGAGAAAAACATTCACATTTATACAGTTTCTCCTCAAATCCTCATGAAGTCTGGTCTTACAAACCACAAATGGGATTATATAAATTTTCAAGTGCCGTGGAAGGAGTAATGAAGTAAATGAATCCTGACTTAAGCCTCACGCCCCCTTGATGAAATAAATATTATGACTCTCTTATTTCAACAAATTGGAAAGAGGTCATTTTTTTTTTCATATAGGAGGTTTATTTAAATGAACTCTCTAATAATATTTTCATTTCTATTTAGGAGGCACTTTGAAATTATGGGACACTTGAGGGACCAGCCTAAAATACCTAGTAAATTGTTGACAGAACCAATATCACTCAAGCTGCTGATCCACACTTGAATCCGCAGGCTTTTCTCAAAGCCCCAGGTTGTTTTGCATCTTGGTAGTATTCAGTGTTTCCTTTCTGATGATGGGATTCTCAGTGTCCATTTTATATTTTCAAAGACTCAAATATCATCACTGTGAAGACTCCCCTGACACCAGCTGTGATCTGTCCCTCTTCCCCCTGGCCCACACTTGCACCTGGCCCTTGTCTGTATTCTTATACTTCTGAGCCCTGCATTATAAGCCCCTTGAGGTCTGTGACTGAATTTATCTGTGTACCCTCAAATGTAAGGGCAGTGCTTGACACACAGTAGATACATTTACTTTGAAAGAGAGAGAGAAAGCAAGAAAAAGAAACACAGTCCTGTAGCTATTCATGAACCCAGTCTTAAGGATGAAGAACTGCTTATTAAGAATCATTCTTCCCCATAGAAATTGAGTTTTACCGTTTAACCATTCCTTTAAAATGTTAGTAATTGTCGGT